GTATGTCAAATTATTTTTCCTTACCAGAGAAGTTTTCTGCCATGACATCGGTGAAGTTGTTTTTTTTAAAATATATCATTTGTGCCATCTCCTGCTTTTTCATTGACTTCAATTAATCTTGTTATTCTTCTTTGCCTTATCTAGCAGCTGCTACTCATGGTCCCTTGCTATTTTTACAGAACCTTTTATGATAACTCCAAGTCTGTCTTCTATATATGAGATCCTGCCCTCACATTGGCTTGATGGCTTGATCTAGTAGTATGCAGATACTTTCAGTGGAATTTTTATTCTCCTGGATATCTGCTTGAGTCTGCCTTAGGGATTCCATTTCTTTCCTATGCCTAGCATTCATAATTTCCATAATTTTCTTCTGTTGTGTCTAGATGTTCTTCCAAAGCCTCATGCAGTCATGGCATGGGCTTCCAGTTTTTATTGATTCATGGCCCAATGCTGAGATTATGGGTGTGAATGCTACCCCTACCCTGGGGTGGGTAGCCTGAGTACAGTATAAGGGAGGGAAAGAAACTTGTTCCTGCTCCTCCATTTGTTGTTGCTTTTGTAGTTTTCTACCACCATGAATAGTTGCCCCAGGGTAAAAGTCCAAGTCCCAAGATTTAAGAGAAGTCAAACAATAAATATCCTATCACAATGTATGTATTCTCATGCTTACTGCAGCACAATTCATAATAGCTAAATGGTTGGTTGTTGAAAACCCATATGCCCATGAATTGAAGCGTATGGTTTTCTCCAGTCAGATATTATCATGAACCTTTTCAGTGAACCAAGAGATGCTAATAGGGGCCGGGAAGATGGCTCAGTAGAATAACCGCTTCCCTGGCAAGCGCAAGGGCCTGAATTCAATCCCTAGTTCTGCAAAACAGAGAGAGGGAGGGAGAGAGAGATGCTAATAATATCCCTTGCATTTTTTCGCTCTTACCTTTTCTTTGTCCTTTCCCTGATTGTAGTTCCTTTTTCCTTTTAAGCAATTACTTTCCATTTCACAGTGTCTATTGTACATTTCATCCTTTTCTCACGTTTATCCTTTATGACTGAGTAGTATTCCATTGTATAAAAACACCATCTTTTTTCATGCTAATATGGATTAGAGAATGGTCTATGGCCATGACATGGACTCTGAGTAATGTGTTAACTATTGTTATTGTATTATTTTGTTATAAAATTCAATTTCACCTTTTTAAAATAAAATTAAAGTAAAATAGACTCGCTTTACCTCCTCACTCACAATATTTTCCAACATGAATTTCTTATTTTTTGTTTGTCATAAATAAATATGATTTGTCCATATTCATCATGGGATAACATAAAAACCTTTATTTATAAATAATGTCCTTTAAAACGTACACAGAAAAAGATTTCAGTAAAAAAAATATATATATATGCTTTAAAAATCACAGGAAATGAAGCCAGATTCTGCTAAAATTGAGAGAAAGTAGTGCTGTCCAAAGTCAAAGCCATTCAAAGGCCATGACAGGGTTAAGCCAAACTGAGTCAGAGCAGCCACATCAACTGTCCCTGGAGCCCTCTACTTCCAATGTTTTTGTTTTACAAGTTAATTACAAGTTAACAACCAGCTCACTTGTACCCATGCTATTTGTGGTCTTATTTCTACCCACCTCACATAATGGTGGAGCCATTCATTCCATAAATACAGTATCAGAGAGGTTGCCTCCATGCACAAAATACACTAAGAAAACTTTCTCAGAGGGGCTGGAATTCTCTTCTAGGAAAAGCATCATAAAGCACAGGAAGCATTATCCAGATCCATGCACATTATCTTGTAGGTTCTTTCTTTAACTCAAGCCAAATTTTATTTCTTCCCAAGATCTTTGGTCAGAAATTGGCAACAGCAATTTTAGTCCATAGACCAAGTCAAAGGTTGCTTTTTCTTCTTTCAATTCAGAGACCCACATATTCTCATTCATTAGAAAATGTAAAAAGTATTTAAGTTGTTGGTACATAGCATTAGGAACCAAATGATCGGGAAGAAAAGTGGCTATCAATTATTGTACCTGAGACCATTGCTAGTAAGAAGCTTTAGTACTTTTGTGATCTTGGCTATATATGCTATGTTAAGGTGACTTTTGAAATCTTGGGCTTTCAAGTTGGTCAGTTTTTCCATTTTGTAGAAGGCTGGATGATCAATATCTTTCTGCAGGTCTTATAATATAAATTTGGCTGGTGTGCAGTGAGTTCTTATGGGGAAGATTGCCCCAGATGAAACCTGAAGACTTCCAGCTCTTTCAGCCCTCCAGGTGTTTGGTGCTTCTTGGTTCTGTTTGTCCCTCGGAGCTCTCAGGGTTGCCGTGGTGGCCTCCTCCATGGAGGGACAGGGCCTGTTGGACTTTTCTCAGTTCCCTGCAATCAAAGGAGAGAAACATAGGTTAGTTGTTCCCCAACCACAGACAGTATTTACAATCTCATCATAGATGGGATTCTCTTTTACTTTTATGGGAACAATCCTAAGTAGAAAATTCAGCCTCTGATTATGCTTGCCATAAGAAAAAAATGACATACACATGCCATGGCACCTAATAGATACAGTCTCCCAGATCCTACTAACTAGGTCATAAATGTTCTTTAAACTTAAAAGGTCTAAAAGTGAACATATTCTTTAGGATTCCTATATATGACAGTTACAGATGTCATATATACGTAAAGAGGAAACAGAATGGGAAAAAAAAAAAAAACTATGACCCCTGGGTCAAGTCTGGGCAGCCACCTGATATTGTAAACAAATTCTCATTGCAATACAGTGACTCACTTAGATAGATGGAATTATTCCTAATCAATGGCTGTTTTTACAACACAACAACATAGTTGAATCATTACACTCAGAGCCCACACAGCCCATACCCATAGATGTATTATGGAGCCATTTGTGAGATAAGCTGCCGGCCCCTAGATAGTTAGAAGATGCCGTCTTCCCCATCACTGACACTGGTGATGGTTCACTGGATATCCAGAGTTTCTTTCACAACTTACATACACTACACTTTCAGAAGTAGTTGTATCCTTGAGAAGAATATATATGGATGAGCACTTAGTATCTAATAGGAAACAATGGAACTCAAAACTAGAGCAAAAAATAAGTGGTCCTGCTTCCACTAGTGGGCCACGGGGACCACAATGCCTTGAGCCCATGAGAGCATGTGAAACAATCCTGTCTGGATTGTAAGAGACATCATTTCATCACAGGACAGCAAATTTCAGATTAGGTGCAACTGGTTATTAACAAGATACCAGAAAAGGCAGCATATCATGTCACGTTGGTTAGAGAAAGTAGCTCCTTAACTTTAACTTAGGAAGAATTTCTTGGGAGAGTAGCTGAACTCAGTGATGTAACTGCTATAGTGGCTGCTGACCGGGAAAAAAAATCTCTCTGAGGTACAACCTAGTTTTGGAAAGTGGTTGCATGGGTGGTCTGTACCAAGATTAACCAAAACAGCATTGCAGGAGCATCACAGTGAGTGTGTACCAGCTCATTCCGCTGTATAAAGACATCACAGATCAAGCAGCAGGAGAGTTGCCTCAGAGCTCTTCCTCTGAAGAACCCACAAAAACTCATTCTCTATACCATCTTGTCAGGCTAGGCTTTGGATGGGAAGGGCCAAGCAGCTGACCAAGGAGGTGGGTTGGATCTGCATAGATGGGTAAGTGCACCTCATCCTGTCCTGTGCTCACAGATTTTGCCAGACGGTTACTGATAAATGGAATGATCAACATGGGACTTGGCCTATTCATTGCCTACAGATGATTGGGACAAATGGATCTGGGGTGGTCTGAGATGCACCAATAGAAGACGACATAGCTGGCTATGTTCTTAATATGGCTGATGAGGCAGGCCAGCCCCACAGGCCATGACCTTGGGGGAAGGAGCTTCTTTTGTTATTATGGGCTGCAAATACATGGTGGTCATGGAGGAAGAATGCTGGTGTCTTGTGGCAGAGATACAGAATACAGTGGTCCCTCACTTGTCACAGAAGTTATACTCCAGATGACCTCATAAGTGAAAATTACTCTTATAAGTTTCCCACCTTTCCCACACTTTTAAAAACACTTCTAATGTTCTTAACCATTTTCTAAACTCATAAACCTACCTAATTTTAACAACCTATGTATACTGTATAGTACTTCAAAATCCCACAATACAGTGAAAAGTTCACAATAAATAATTTAGATGGATATTTTTTGAAAACCCAGGAAACTGTCTATGAAAGTCAAACCATGAAATAGCAAGGGACTACTGTAATTGATTTTTTTTCTTTTGCTTATTTTTGCTATTCTGATAATAAGTTCCATTTTTAAATAAGCTATGTTTTTCACTCATGGTAAATAGATAGATAAATAAATAAATAAATAAATAAATAAGTGGCTTATTGGGCATAATTCCTGACTAAAGGCTGAGAACCTTTGCAATTCATTACCAGGAAAACAGTTTGGAGACTTTTAAGTTTTCAAACTAATCTTTCTAAGATGGATTTTGATTCCAAGAGAAGATGGATTTATAAGTTTGCTTCAAGAAAGGACCATTTTTTTTAATTTTCTTTTGTATTTTTATCAGATCACTTACAATTTTCTTCAGAACACTGCCAAACATCACTGCCTGAGCCTTATTCCAATCTCATGCCATTCACAGTTTAACAAATAAATGAAGGGCTGGAGAGATGGCTCAGTGGTCTAAAGCACCTACTTGGAACAAACTAAGCTTAGCAAAGCACAGGGACCGCGGTTCGATCCCCCAGCACCACATGCCAGCCAGCCGTGCCCCCTGGTGGGCTGAGTTGGACACACACACACACACACACACACACACACACACACTAAATAAATGTAAAAAAAATAAAATAAAAAAAAATTAAAAAAATAAATGAATACCAACCTACATGAAAGATAGAATTGCTCAGGAAAAAATCTGTTACCTAAATGCATGCCAGGACAGTGTACCTGCATGCCTAACCCTGAAACGTGATGGCTTTCTAAATTATTCTCTCTACATACCTGAAGTCTCCTTATACTAGGAGATCACCATTATTTATTCCTGACCCTCAGAACTCCAAGTGTCTTATACCAGTGGAATTTCTTTGTCTTCCTCCCTCTTTCTTCCTTTACATTACCTGGAATTTTCTCTCAAGCTGCCTAGCCACAGAGCTGCCCAGGCTCATGCTACAAAGGGCTTCACTGAACCTATGTATGACAACCCAGATTACACATAAATGTGGATCTGTAGCGTCTTGGAAAGCTTGTATGACAGTTGTAGAGAGGTTGCGATAGATTTTTGTATGACTCAAACACCCAAGGCTACCTTTCCAGTGTAGCCGTCTTAGACTTCTCCACATCTAGAAGCCTCTGGAGCTCCTCTTCTGTCTTCAGGGAGGGCCAGAGGACTGGACTACGGACCAGATCTGCTGCAGAAGGTCTTTTCTGAGGGTCAGGGTGGATCATACTCTGATTAAAAAAAAAAAAAGGGCCGAAAAGAAGAAAAGCAAAGCTTCACATTTGGGAAACTCTCCCCAGTGGGATCAACTCCAACCCAGCTTCTACCAGAGGATTTCATGAAACTCTGCTTCTCTTCTAGGCAGGGAGAAGGGATAAGTGAAAAATTATCTCTAATTTTGCAGAAGATCATCTATGTCTGGTAACACCAGGTATACACACTTCTAACTTGTTTTATTGTTGAGTTTGTTGTTTGTTTTGCTTTGTCTTTTTGAGACAGGGTTTCACTATGCAATTCAGGCTGGCCTTGAACTCAGAGCAATTCTCTTGCCTCAGGCTCGTAAGTGATAGGATTATAGGCATGTGCCACCACATCTGGCCTAGATTTAACTTGTTTTTAAGTACTGTTACCTCCTCCCAGGAAGTCAAAAGGAAGTCAGGAGAGGCAGGTTCATAACAGCTTTTGAAATTTTCAGGTAATCTAATCTCCAAAGGAGTAGATATTTTAAAGCTATTTTAGACATCCTAACCAATATGGTTTCCAAATCCATGACAATATACATTTTTTTAACAGTGTATGCCTTTCATCTTTTTAACATAATATTCTTTTCACTGTTCATGCACATACTCAGACATCATTAAGTGCAAGCAATACACAGATTTTCTTATCTGACATAACACCTTATCTATCTCTCAATAATTGGTGGCATTGTCAGTTACCAGTAAAGTAGTTTATATTTTTTATAGATACTTGAAACTTATTCTTTTGTTAATGTCATCGCTGTTACCACAGGCATTCAAAAAAACCCTCTGATTTTGGAGGAAAAGACCAGCATTATTTTGGAGATAACCACTTTTCACTCTAAGGTAGACATGCAGCACAAGCCATAATTCCAGCTATTCAGGAGGCTGACTCAGTAGGATCTCCTGGCATCTCAGCAAGATCCTGTCCCAAGAAGCTGGGAATGTAGCTCCCTGGGGAAGCAACTGTCTAGCATACACAAAGTTCCAAATTCAGTCCCCATTATACCAAAAAATAAGATAAATCCATCATTTGTGAATACAAGAGTCATATAGCTACTGTAAGCCTTGAGATTTGCCTCTGCACAATAAAATTCAACCTCCCTATTTTACAGAATTATTAAGAAGAGTAAATGATCTCACAGAATAGAAGACACAGAAGGAATGGACAGATTCCTAGACAGGTACAAATTACCACAACTCAATTGACAAGATATAACCACTCTCAATAGCCCAGTAACAGCCAATGAAACGCGAGATGTAATAAAAAACCTGCTGACAAAGAAAAGTCCAGGTCCAGATAGATTCACAGCTGATTTCTACAAGAAATTTACAGAAGATGTAGTCCCTATACTTCTCAAACTCTTCAATGAAATTCAAAAGGAAGCATCCTCCCAAAATCATTCCTGGAGGCAAGTATTATACTGATACCAAAACCAGGGAAAGATGCAACTAAGAAAGAGAGCTACAGGCCAATCTCCCTCATGAACATACATGCCAAAATCCTCAATAAAATCCTAGCAAATAGAATACAGCAAATCATCAATCAAGAAGATCATACACCATGACCGAGTAGGATTCATCCCAGGGATGCAAGGATGATGCAATATTCAAAAATCAATGTAATACACTATGTCAATAGAGCAAAAACTAAAAACCACATGATCATCTCCATTAATGCAGAAAAGGCTTTTGACAAAGTCCAACACTCATGTTCAAAGTCCTACAGAAAATTGGAATAGATGGCTTCACTTCAATCTGGTAAAAGCCATTTATGAAAACCCAACAACTAACATAATCCTAAATGGGGAAAAAATGAAATCTTTTACTCTGAGATCTGGTAAAGACAAGGATGCA